CAATCACGCCTTCACTGTCACAATATTTTACTTGCTTAATTAAATGTGGTACGGTGTGCCCTTTTGAGCGTATTTCGTGATAACCCTCCGCACTCCAGGCTGGCCTTCTCACCCCCCTTCATCCTTGTGCTGGGAATCTTCATCAGAGTCTGCCATATTATTACGCAGTCCACCTTCCATAGGTCTTACCACAGCCTCTCTCTTGCCCCGTAAGATCCGTCTGTCCTCTCCCTGATTTACATATTTCATTCGACCCCTGCCACCCCATCTGTACCATTCAAAGCGTTATTCGCCCTCCCCTGAGTCTGGGTGACTAGTTCGAGGCCAAAGCCTCTAAGTAAGTGTCATGGTCACGCCTTTGCTACGTGGACCACGTCTCTTATAAAACCTACTGTCAGCCCACTAGCTCCCATCGCCGCCTCGTCTATTCTGTTCCTATTTCTAATACCAAGTCTATGACTTTCCATGCCCTTGTGGGTCAACCCACAAACGTTGTGGTCCAGCTTTGAACCTAATCAAAGCAAACAGTACCACAACATTTGTGGGTTGGCACACAGGAGACTAGGGCATGGGAAGTCATAGACTTAGTAATAGAGATAGAAACAGAATAGACGCGGTGGCGATGGGAGCTAGTGGGCTGACAATAGGTTTTATAAGAGACGTGGTCCATGTGGCAAAGGCGTGACCATGACACTTACTCAGAGGCTTTGGTCTCGAATTCGTTACCCAGACGCAGGGGAGAGCGAATAACGCTTCGAGTGGCACAGATAGGGTGGCAGGGGTCGAGTGAAATATGAGAACCAGAGAGAGGGCAGACGGATCTTACGGGGCAAGAGAGAGGCTGTGGCATGACCTAGGGAAGGAGGACTGCGTAACAATATGGCAGACTGATCAACATTCCCATCACAAGGGTGAAGGGGGTGAGAACGCCAGCGTGGAGTTCGAAGGGTTATCATGAAAGACGCTCAAAAAGGCACACCGTACCACATTTAATTAAGCAAGTAAAAAATTGTGACGGTGAAGGCGTGATTGGAGGATAAAGGAAATGTGAATAGGTCAGGGCAGGAGGGAAGATACCACAACTGTTTAGTCCACATTTGGTCAAAGGATCGGCTTCACTCGTCTCTTCAACGAGTTTTAATATGGTGCTACGAGTGGTAAAACTCACTGATGATGCTGGCGAAACGTTTTGGAGTGTATCACGTCCACGGTCCAACTTTGGAAAGGATTATGCATACAATGGACTTCTGAAAAGATGCGTTCCTCTAAGTCTTCCTACCAATATGACAAAGTTGCGAAAACAGGGTTAAATACAACGAAAGGAGACTGCGAACACAAAACAGGCCACACCATCTTGGTCTTCATACCTTCGATTTATATAGCCTTGCTTTCCAAGAGGTACTCTTATCTAAGCAGATGTGGATTGCATTCTCGGCCTCATCTAGGTGTTATCAGCTTCCTCAGAAGGCAAGGCTATGTAAAATTCAATGAAAACGTATGGTTGATTGATATTAGTGGGAAAATTCAGCTACTGGTCCTTAATTTCCTTATTGAAATAGGGTGTATACATCTTATGCAATAGATCTATAATTATATGTTCCCATAAAAATCAATTCTCAGTTGTCTCAGTCTATTATAAATTGGATATTTTTCTTCCATATTGCTAAAATATACCTTTTCTATACATGTCTATTATTTCGTCTCGTTCCAAGATTCTGTTGATTTGCTCTGATTTATTTTTTGGGATTCATGCTCGTGCCTCTTTGTGTTTGCCTTTGCTTGTGTTTAGGTAAAGAGGTGGAAAATGCGACGGCTGTAGTGGTGAGTATTTTGGTGCGTAACGATGCTGATCCCAACAGCAAACTCATAAATATGGCGCTCACCTGGGAGGCCGAATTTTTGATCTCGGTGCATCAATGGGCAGCTGAAAATGCTGAAGATCTGGTCATCAGTTTCCAAGCAGAGGTATATTCTTTGTTTTATCGGCCTTCTTGCATTAGGTTATTTCAGAATAGGTAGTATAATGATAATTGACTATTCTTCAGTGAAATGATTAAGAGGTCTAATGGTGCTATGCCTCTCCCAATTACCACTTATAGTCTATAATGCAAACTTAAAGTTGAACCTAAGATCGATTACCTTTTATTAAAAATGAGTAGGTTTAGTAATCACTCTCTATTCATGGTTTATAAACTGTATTAATCACTATTTGGTTACATTTTTAATTGTAATTACAAATACTACTTCGAATATGTTATACATTTGGTTTGGGAGATGCCTGGATTGACTTATAATTCAAATCGTCCCTGTGAATCTGTTGTTGCTAATGTTAATCCTTGACGCCCTAATTTTATTAAACCTAGTTTTTGGTGCGGATGAGACCTTTACGAGGTTGAATCTAATGCTGCTAGGGCATTTTGGAAGACAAGACTAAGTGAAATTAATTTATCTACCATAATCGGTCCTGCATAACCTTAAGCGACTTTGGTTATACCTCTATAAGCATTTCCGTCTGTCTTTATATTTATGAATTTGATAATTTTACTCATTTCTCCCTACGAAATAAGAATCAAAACTTTAGTCTACACTTAATTAAAACTCATTTCTGAGATTGATGAAAGTGAAATTCTGCCGCAAGGGAGTCAGTAACCAGTGTCTCTAACACCATTCCGCTTATTTCGCCGTTTCATTCATAGTATTATTTGAGTTGTATTTTTGAAGATACAACTATATAATAGGCGACGATATAAAGACCAAGATGGTGTGGCTTTTTGTGTGGTCGCATTCTTCTTTCGTTGTATTAAAGTTGTTTTACATTGTTTTCGCAACTTCGTCATATTGGTAGGAAGACTTAGAGGAACGTACCTAGTCCGGAGTCCATTATATGCATGATGATTTCCAAAGTCGGACCGTAGACGTGGTGAATTCACAGACGTTTCGCCGCATCGTCAGTGAGTTTTGCCATTCTTATCACCATAATAAAACTCGTCATAGAGACAAGTGAAACCGTTCCTTTCACCAAACGTGTGCTAAATAGTTACCTGCTTTGATTAGGCTCAATGTTGAACCACGACATTTGTGGGTTGGCATACAAGAGACTATGACATAGCAAGTCATAGACTTAGTATTACGGATAGAAACAGGATAGACGCGGCGGAGACTGGATCTAGTTAGTTGGCTTAAGGTTTTACCATAGACCTGGTCCATGTAGCAAAGGCTTGACGATGAGACTTACTCAGAGGCTTTAGCCTCGAATTAATCACCCGGACGCAGGGGAGGGCGACCAACGCCTCGAGTAGCACAGATGGGGTGGCAGGGGTCGAGTGAAATACGTGAACCAAGGAGAGAGCAGACTGATCTTATGGGGCAAGAGAGAGACTGTGATAAGGCCTATGGAAGGAGAACTGCGTAACAATATGGCAGACTCTGATCAACATTCCCTGCACAAGGATGAAGGGGGGGGGGAGCGAGAGTTGGAGTGTGAAGGTATCATGTCGCTCAAAGGAGCACGCCACACTATATCTAAATAAACACGGTAAAAATTTAATAGTGAAGGCATGATAGGATGATACAGGAAACGCGAATAACCCAGGGCAGAAGGGGAGATACCACAATTGTTTAGCTTACGTTTGGTCAAAGAACCGGCTTTACTTGTCTCTTTAACGAGTTGTATGGTGCTAAGAATGGCGGGAATCACTGACGATGCCGGCGAAACGTTTGGGAATTTACCACGTCCACGGTCTAACTTTGGAAATGATTATGCATATAATGGACTCCGGACTAGGTGCGTTCCCCTTAGTCTTCCTACTCATATAACCAAGTTGCGAAAACAAGGTCAAACAACTTATATATTCTAGGCGATTTTTTTACATACCATGGATGTAATTTAGATTTTATTATAGCCTATTCCTTTTACTCTTATTTAGCA